AAGTTTAGGGGTGTTTAGGGTTCAGAGGAGCTCACGTTTTTACTTATTATTCTTGTATTTTCAAACGCTAGTTTGAGTATGCTCTTAAAGTTTCTTTTCCTTTTCTTTCTTTTTTGGGGGGCGGGCGATTGCTAGCCCGCACATCCCCGCGGCTCCCCTTTCCGCTGTCCAGGGCCCTCGGGCTTGCTTTGCGCTTCGCGGAAGAGCCAGTTGAATGCGCCCTCACAAGTTACCGAGCTCTGCCTTATCTGGTGGGATCCCCGTGGAGCGGATGACTGGCATATGACTTCTGACAGCCGGAAATTTATGGGTGTCCTGTGAGTTTAAAACGAGCCATAGCGAACAGGAGCATTCTGAAATCCTCCCTGCCAGCGAAGTTACCTTGCCGGCCTTTTCGGACAGGGACTGTCCAGGGCTGGGCATGGTGTCTGCTGGGGTCTGAGCCTTTGGGTCCCCGAGATGGACGCTTTGGAAGTCCCAGGGCGCCGAGAAGCACTTTTGTGACTTAAGTGGCAAATATTTTGCGTCCTTTCTAATTCTCCCCCTCCCCCAGCAGACTTGATGGCTCATCCTTCCTTCTTCCCATCTCCCCTTTGAATTTCTCTTTTCTCTTGACTGGGGAGGCCCCCAGGGGCTGCTTCTGGTGAATAGTCGCGACTGAATGGGAATGCCCTGGAGCTCTGGAAGGCCCGGGGCTTCCACGTGGGGGGGGGGCCCTGGCTCTGCTCCCCCCCATTGTGTGCTGAACCTGTCTCCTCCCTCCTCCAGACCCTCCTGCGTTGCAGGTCTTGGGTTATTTTCTAATCCCAAAGACATATTTACAAGAGAAGAAAGGGAGGAGGGCGTTGGCTGACTCCAGAGGAGGGTGCAGTTGGGTCAGGGGTATTTCGAAGCTGTACCCCACAGCATCCCACCACCACCAGCAGGTCCAGCCTCAGTGGCTCATAAAAGACAAACGACAAATAAAACTTTTAAAAGTTGGCATATTTCAAGTTAATGCCACTTGTTTTATTTCAGGGTTAAAATGGAAAGAGAAAAAGAACGTATTCTGCCCACTTGAAAAGTGTTAGAACAAAATATAACGATTAAGTCTAATTCACACTTTTTAAACCCCTTGATGGATGGAAGGAAGGCACTGGTATGATGTGAATTTCATAACCTCATGGTGGACTCCAGAAACTGTTTTCCTTTCATTTAATTTTCAGTTCTTTTATTGCAAATTAATGCCACTGAATTTCAATGGGCTCTAATGAGACTGCTCCTGAGTGGATTATTTACTGCCTTGCTAATAATTACAAAGGGTGCCTGGTCAATTAAAGAGGGTTCACATTTTATTCAAAATTGTTCATCATACCAGTGGCAAATAATATTATAATATGCCACATCCTAAACTTTTTTTGCATTAGATGATATTCAGATACTTTCAGAATAGTAAAAAAAAAAAAATCAGAAACTGAAAAAAATAAAGTGAAAAACTTGCAAGCATGAAATCTGTGCAGAAATTCTGTTTTAGAACTTTTTTTTTCCCTTTGTTGATTAGTTCCCATAACATTCTTCTTGTTTGAAATCTTATTTATCAGTGAGGGAGGAAGAAGAGGAGCCAATGCAAGTGTGGATTAAAATGGAAAGAAGTTATTTCATATTTCCCTCCTTCTCGGTTTTTCTCTTTGAATAACTCTAGGTAAAAAGAGTTACCCAGACTTATTCCAGAAACCTTTAATTTTCTTCAGTGCTTATCAAAAGTTTGGGGAGATTAAAGTAGTGTTTTCAAACTGTCAAGAATCACAGATCTTGAAGTAGTTTTAATGCGTTTAGGACATGTTTTTAAGGATTAAAATAGGAAAGCACATACTAGAAAAGATTGACTACAGGTGAGTTTTGTTTCCTGAAGTTTTGCTTTAATTATACATGCTTGTGTGTACCGACCGTGATGTAACATGCATTTCTTAGTGCCGGTGGAGGTCAAAGACTTGAAAACTACTGGCCTCAAATGTTATCAGTAGAGAAACAAATACTTCAGGTAAGTGACTCATTATCTACACAAACCAAACAGCTATTTTGATTTTCTTGATTTTGTTTCCTGCCTATAAATTAGCTGATGTCTTTGGGTCAGAGAGATTAAACTTTATTATTTCTTGGTCTTAACTTTTGCACATATAAAATGATGCTTTGGCTTCTCTGGCTGCCAGAATGCTCACATCCCACTGGGATGTGAGGACAGTGTAGGTGAAGTTCATGTTCTGTGGCATAAGATGCCGTGGTCCCTTTCTTCTGATCGCAGACATAAGCAGCTATAATTACATGTGAAAAAGACAGTAGATAAAACTACCTTGGGCATATAATAGTGTGAGAAACACTGTTACATATCCCAGCAGATTACTGAGAGGGGATACATTTGTAAGTAGTCAAGTTGTGATTTTGTGAAATGTCTCTGGACAACAAACATTTCATGAGAAAGGCAACCTGCCACCAGGATTTCTTTCTAGAGTTCCAACAATTTAGGAATTTTTGAATAACATTAAGCATGAAACTTAATTTATCTGTCATATTAAAAAAATTAAAATTAGGTGTTTAAGGCTCCATTGAGATATCAGGTATATGCCTCAGTATTCTTCAAGGCTAAATATTATCCACTTTTCAAAAAAAAAGAAAAGAAAAGAAAAGAAACCTTGCAAAAACTTATAAACCTTTTTGTGAACAGAGGCTCATCTCTGGGGAGTCACTTGAGTGGTCAGCTTTCAAGTTTTCAATAACTCTTGTCTTGTATTTAGGTGATATTTTAGCACCTTTCCCCCTGTTATTATTTTTATTCATTAAAATTGGTACTCTTTACCTGGTATTTTGTGCTGCCTAAGAATAGTTCTGAGGGGCACTTCTGGCCTCGGGAATGAGTATATTTTAAGTTGAAAAGGAGTCACATCTTTATTCCCCATTTCATTTTCACCTTCTCCATGCGGTCTGTAGCTTTTTGGCAGAAAGCACCTGAAAGGATGAGGAAAATTGCCACTTGCTATAATCTTCTTTCTTACCCTTAGTTAATTTGGATGCCTGGATTACTTTTGTGAATATGTTTAGATTTGACACTTACAATTTGGGAAAAATTCAGACTCAGCATTATTATTGCTCGCTTATTATTTGAAGGACATAATAGCAACAGTCAAGAATGGCAATGTCAGGAACAAGTTATCAGGAGAGGTGAACGATGTCAAACTCTTCATCAATGATAGACATTAGTAATTTTGTTAAGTGAGATAGTGTATATACAGGCATTAAAATATTACACAAGCATTTGCTCTGGTGCTTTTGTAAGCTAAAAAGAAACATTAGGGGAGAACAGATTTATTTGGTCAGGCATTTCTGTACAAATGTAGAACGATGATAATAGGCTAATTTGGAAGCCTAGTTTAAATAATACTTCATGATCTGCAACATTTACCTGCAGCCTTAGTTATTTATCATAAACAAAGGTTTCCTTGTAGGTACATCTTCTAAAAAGTCAAAACCCTGATTATGTGAAAATAGATTTACATAAGGAAATATGTAAATTTCAATTGTATGTAATTTAAAATGCACACTCAGCATAAAACTAATATAACCCACTGCTCCTTGTGACTTCCGGTTTATTTTCAACTTAACTTTTGAGGAGCCAAGTTAGAAGTAGGATGCTAAGTCTGTTCTTTTCTTTTCCAGGATGCATTGAAGGGTTGGGTCCAGGGAACCGGTTAGTTTACTTCTGAGTCTCAGTTTGCTTATCGAAGAGAGGAAAACAGGGTGAACACAACCATTTAGAAGCGAAATGCATACTCTAGAGAGAGATGCTATAAATCCAAAATACAGCTGCTTGAATACAAACCAGCCAAAGTGAAAGTATGAGAGAATTCACGCAAAGGAGGAAGTTCTGCACTCATGGAGTTGTTTTTATTTTAAACCCTACCGAGAAATTGGCAGATAATGCCATGTAAATAAAAAGCATACCCAAGCTGTCTCTGCCCCCTTCCTCACACCTAGGGGAGGTGAAGGGGAACACCTAAGTGATGGTCTAGCAGCAAAAGCGGAAAACACAATTGCTGAGTTTTGCCCCTTGGGAAATAGTTTTAGGAATCGTAAAGGAAATTATGCAACCACCAACACTTTCAATGATGTATATATTTTTAGACCCAATTAAAAACAAGAAGGATAGAAAGATGGCCCCAAATGCCAAAATTTTACATGGTATCATAAAGAATTTCAAGAAATTGGTTGAATCAGAAAGGATGTTTTTGTCACTTTTAAGCAATTGGTTAGTGTGTTGGTAGAATCCATGGTGGTGGTGGTGGCAATGACCTTTTGCTATCCCTCTGGGTAAATACTATTTCTGAATACCTCCCTTCTGCTCTGGAAACTACTCTACGCAGAACAGTCCTTTCAATGCACTTTCCTCTTCTTTGAGTCATTTTAGTATATCAAATCACTTAATTTCAGTAGTCAGACAATTTTAATGACTATGTTGTTGAAGATATTAACACCAAAAATGTCAAGTATGTAATGTTACCCCACAGAAAAAT